CTAATAAACATGTCAGTAGCCTCTCTCTCCTTTTGAATTGGTATAGATACCTTGCCATGCGCTTGTCAAACTCAACGACATTTGGAAATCCTTCCAATGCCGGCACTAGTGGTTCAGATAGTACTGGACTGCACGTTGGGCATATTTTTATGTATTGCTGAACTAGCGCCTCAGGGATTCTGTTAATTCTGCAGTTAGTTTATTTGATATTTCTAAGGGGGAATTTTGGTCTGTAGCATGGGCGTACTGAGAATATGTCGTGTCCAGCAGGAAAGCAGATCTATCAACTGAGTAAACTCCAATTTTGACCTTCTGTGTTTGGGACGGGACACTGCCAGTAATCATTGTAACACGGTTCACATCGACACTCTCGAAATCTATTGACGAATCGAGAACTTTCGCTTCGAAAGCCTAATGAGATATTAGATGTGAAACAACCACGAATGCAGGGGCTTACCATCAAGAATTCCTCTTTCTCGACCCTGCTCTATTGGGAGTAGATCTAGACAATCCGAGTCGCCGCTTGGGGCTACTCTATCTGAGTACTGAGTAACAAGTAGGGTGAATACGGCGGTTGAAGTTACCTGGGGTTCGTGAATCTGACAAGACCAGATGAAAGGCCGTTTGCGCTTGTAGGAGTCCTGACTTGAAATAATGAGATCAATGAATTTGGAAACGTGAGACTGGGGAGTGACAAAACTCATAACATCGGCGATGGGATACCCACGTCGAAGCTGGTTATCGGTCGCAATGAACTGATAGGAAGTCAAGTAAGATAGATCAGAGTTCTACTAACATATATTGCACCAACGTTCCCATCGATTGGGTTGAAGCGGTTAGATTTCATATATCTCTTGTCACATCATGTTTCTTTGAAATATTTCCTAATGAGCTCTTAGGATCTGCGTCGCCATTTTCAACCGTATCAAGTTGTCTCCGAGAAAATCAGCCGCGATGAGAAAACCGGCGTCAGTAAGGAGGTTGGATTTGCGAGGTTAGCTACATCGTCTTCTACACCGATGATATATATATATATATATATATATATATTGTGGGCGCTAACTTGCGGTATGTTCTGAAGGTTCGAGTCTCGCGAAATTGCGGAAAAAGTATTATCTGAGTTCCACAACGTCACAGCTAAAGATGGGGTTAAGCTTCTCCTCCGCTTTGCAGACACGAAAGCGCAGAAACAGCTGAAATTGCAGAGTAACGAACGTCGTGCGTATCGTGCTGGTGAATACAACTATTCAGTCGAATTGGTCAATGGCTCTACCCCGTCGCCAACTCTTCAGCGTTTGCAACAGACAGCTTCCCACTTTAGTCCAAACTCACAGGCTAGCTTCCTTCTCCATTGGGGCCTGGCCCTGTCTGGACGCCGGCAACGTCAATATCCCCACCGTAAGTTAAACCAGTTTATTTCTCCCAGATATAAAGCTGACACCTTGGTAGTGGTCCAATGATGAATAAATCCGTGAACAGTCTTCGTCTTAACTCCTGGGGAGCACGTAGTAATGGAAATGTGGAGAACACCCCGACCTTCCGCGGTCGCCCAGGTCTCAATACTCAAGGTTCATATGGAGATGGCCTTTCTACAGAGTCTTCTAGAACCGTTCTCCCCGTTTTAGGTGGCGTGACAAGATCCGAGAATTCTAGCCCTCGGAAAGAAAATCACCGTGCAGGATCTACTTCTCCTCTTGGTTGCCGGAGGGAAATTACTGTTGCGACCCCAAAATCATCCACCTAGGGCTTTAGGGCTTATCGACTTTGTTTGAGTTTTTTTCCGGCTCTGTATGAACAGCTATTTAATAACTTCGTCTGCGGCTCTCTAGCACTGAAGTTATCATCGGTATCGCATTGCCAGCCACACGTAGTTACGATTAATGGATAACGACTCACGGTATCATGGAAAACTGATTGTATTGAAATATCCTCACAACAAGTTTTACGGTAGCTCTTCGCTCCTTCACCTGTTATCCCCGATGGTCAGAAAGTCATTCTTTTTCCAATACGTGCTTACGGATAATATCCATACCAGTTATTTTATTTCCAGCACGTCCCCAACAGTTCAGCGTGCATATTTTGTCTCTGGCCATTGCCGTGACGTTTGAAGTATGTTTTGATGTTATCTGTTTAGGTATGGGAACATCTCTAGTCCTACATAGTACCATGTTTGCTTATGATGAAATGAAGATGGATGATTCATGATGTTACGAGCTCCGGTTTAAAAATGGGCAGGTGTATTAGTTAGTGATGTGAAGAACGATCAAGGGGCAATTGTCTGATCTTAGCTTTTAGTATGTGATCCTTACAAAATAGTAATAATGGAACTGAAATTTGCTCCCATCGTATAAGGTGTGAGAGTGTACTAGTGTTATATTGAAAGTTTTGAACGGAGATTTTGTTACAATATGCGAATTATCACCTATATGCGTCGAAGGTCGGCACAGGCAGCAGTCGAACATGGTGCCGGGAAGCTGGTCGGTGGTACCAATGCTTCGGGCCGAGCCGATACCTACGCTTTCCGGGACCTGCTGGCCATGTTATATCCCCACCTGAAGCTGCTAGACCAGGAGAATCCCTCAGCGGATGATCGAGAATACCAAGAAAAGCACACAAAGCTGAAGAACTGACTCAACTCAGCGCGCAACTGATATCTACTGCAGGAGAAACTTTTGCTAAGAATTCTTGCACTGGCGTCATGCAGTGAATTGCAAATTGAGACTGATAAGTGCATCATCATGATAAAAATGATTGTTTGAGTGGCTGACCTCAATCAGGGTTGAAAGGATATCAAGCAAGCTGTTTTCCATCTTCTTGGATGTATTGTATAAGTATCGAGGCGCCTTTCTTCAGGAGGTGGGCCAGTTGATCTCCTGAAATATCGAGGATGTCTTACATGACTGTGACATTGACTTGAATTATGGGTTTGAGTGTGCAGACACTCCATTCCTCCTGCAAGTCTTGATGGATTCGCAACGCCTTATCAGGTCCGGGGTCCGGGCGCTGGTTCTGATTACCATTTCCATCTTGCGAAGCCACTCGAAGCTGCAGGCATTCCTTGCATCTTCTATGACTAGGTTGGGTGCTCACGCTCGTCTCTCATCCGCGATAAAGCTGAAGATAAGAGCTTTCTAGGGCTTTGATTTGTTCTGTGCTGAGTTTGACAATCTCGTGGACGATTTCGAGCTGCGAAAAGTTGGATTCTGTATCTACGGCCACAGCTGGGATCGTATGCTAGCCAGCATATATTCT